GTAAGCCCGAGGTCATTGTTGCATCTCACCCTCCATAGCTCTTCATCAGTTTTGACACAGGGTCTTTCCCTCAGCATGGAGTTCGTTTATTCCGTTTGTCTGGCTGGCCAACAACTGCAGGCACCTGTCTGTCTTTGCTGTCCTGTAAACCCAGGGCCAGGCTTAGAGGTATGCCCGGCCGTGCCTGGTTTCCTCTGTGGGTGCCTGGATCCAGTGTCTGCATTCGAACTCAGATCCTTTCGTTGATGCCATAGGCCCCTGGCTTTCCCAGAAGCCCTTCCTCATCCATTCTTGGACAGAGTTTTTCTACACCGTTTTCTTTAGCAGTAGGATTTTAGTCGGTTTTTTTCTAGATTTTAGTCTGTTCACTAACTTTTGTTACTGTGAAATATCTCAGCAGAAAAAAATAGTTTATACTTTTATTCAGAAATATCTCAGTTGTTTCAGACTGACATCTCTTTTTTGGGTGAAGAGTCTTATTTAACTCTTTTGTCTCCATTTAGAAGATTGTTTTCATTTCGTAGAAATTTAATTTTCTGTTTTTCATTGGACTTACAAACTAGATTCAGATTCAAATGATGTCTATATTTGTATTTTAGTTACTCTTAAGAGCAGAAAGAAATATTAAAGTTTTTGGTAGGAATGTGGAAATTTCACATCACTATTCCCCTGTGGTAGTGAGATCCGCCTACTTTCCTGGCTCTAGATTTTTAGAAAGTTACAAAACAAGATCCATGTGAAGCAGAGATGAACAGATCAATGTTTAACTTATGTGAAATATGATTTTTTTTCAAAAAAATCTTGTAATTCAAGCATACAGCATTTATGATATAGAGGCAGGAGGATTGTGAGTTCAAGGGCATCCTTGGCTATATAATGAATTCAAGTCCAGCCTGAGCTTCCTGAAACTCAGAAAGAAAACAAGGGGCTGGGGAGGTGACTTCAGGAGCAAGGCACAGCCTCACTAACAACAGAACCTGAGTTTTAATCAACATAAATGTAAAGCCAGTGCTCTCACAGCGAGATGAAAAGTAAAGACCCAAGGGCCACTAGCTTGGCATATGAAAAAGTGACCAAAGAAGAGAGAGACCTTGTCTCAAACAAGGGAGAGAAGGTGAGGACCAGCACCTGATTGAGATAGTTCATACACACACACATACACACACACACACACACACAAACACACATACACACACCACATACACACACTCATACATATACACACATACATGCCTGGATCCAAACACACACACACACACACACACATACACACACACATAGTCAGACACATGTACACACCATATGTATATATACACACAATGTTTAAGGAAACAAAACAAAAATCATTTTTGAATTTCAACAGTAGGATTTGTAACCCAGGTGCTGGGTGGCAGAAATGGGATAGAGGATAACATGTCCTGATATAGGGGTCTCATTGGCTGTGAGACTTGGGCCTTATCCCTAAAAGAATAGGATTGTTTGTGTGCATTATGGTGATGTTTTTATCAATTTACTCTGGATTTTATGGTACGGCTTCCTTGAGAAGTGCCTCAATCCTAACTGTGCCTCAGACGGTTAGTGATCTTGAAGTCGGATAACTCAGAGCCATTGCCTGAAGGTCTGCCTTAATCTGGATGCTAACCCGCTTTGACACTCTCTAGTGACGTCAAAGGCAGCTCGCGCTGAGCAGGGTCCTTCCTGGTCCTTGTGCTCCTTGCTGACCATCAGGGTTTGACAGTGCAGCCTCCTTGCTCCAGTGTGAGGAAGCCTGAGCCCAGGCTGTTCATCGTTCCGTTTGCAGACTCACTTAAGCCCAACCTGTCATCCCAACATTGCGTTGGTCGTGTGTCAGCTCTACCATATACCCTTCCTTTTTAAAGTAGGGGTTATTTTATTGATTTCAAACAAAGACCTTGCCAGGGTCTTCTGTGAAAAATTTCACAGGGATGGTTCTCCCCTCTGTCCGCAGACAGTGCCACACTGAAGAATGGCTTTATTCTACCCCAGCTGCCACTCTTTAATTAGACATTGGGGTCCCCTGTACCAAATCATTTGCTTCAAGAAGAGTCCATGCTTCTGAAGGAGTTAAAGATCTCGTGCATAGTGTTTCAGACTCTATATAGACAGATGTACCACGTTGGGAGAAAGGGATTCAGAGAGTGTCTAGACTTGGATGATCAAGGTCCTGAGCAGAGGAGATGCCATTAGAGTCGCTTTCAGGGTTGGTGCTGCACATGACGGCAGGGAGAAGAGAAAGGAAGGCGAGACCAGAGGTAGAATGCCGATACAATGTGCACTAAGCAAGGATGGAACTTGCTGCTTTGTGGTAGCACAGGGGTGCGGATTGACTGACAGGGAGAGAAGCAATACTTTAAATCTAGAAACAAGTAGATGCATCGCAGGATCAGGAAGGCAAAGACCTAGAAGATGGACCATTCCAGAGGCTAAAAATAATAGTGTTTGGAGAACTGCACACAGTTGGGCCACAAGGTCAGAGCCAGTGGGACTCTATCAAGGTGCTTTGCACAAGGGAGACCAGCCCTTGGGGAGCACTGTTGGCCACCTGCAAGGACTGCTTTGCCTCATTCAGAGAATTCTAACATAGATTGGTTGGATGATATAAAATCAATGCCTTGTGTTTGCCTATAGGTGCCTTTCTGACTTTCAGTTCTTCAGAGGAAAAACTTGTTCCAGATGTGGTTAACCGTCTTTGAAGCTAACTGTGGGTCTCTTTCTGAAGACAGCACAGCATGACACTATTCCTCAGACTTCCATGACTCTGACAGCTCTCTGGGACTCATCACCACAGCGCTGTATTTGTTGTGGCTTCCTGTGACCTTAACTGTTCTAACTTGGAAGTTAGGAGTCCCTAGCCTTGGTGCCGAGTCCCAGAAGTACCGTTCCCCTCTGTCACTGTGGAAACTAAATTTTCAGATGCTCCTGGGGATGACAAGTTGAAAGTGTTTCCCTTCCCCATCACTGGGTGTTGGCTGCACACATTGAACACAGCCAGCTGACAATGGCAGTCATAGCCAGTTGATGTTGCGGTTATTGTTTTCAATCATGTTGATTGACCCCAAAGCCTTGTGCATGCCGGAATAGTACTCTACCACTAAGCCCTATTCCTAGCCCAAAATGCAGAATGTTTTAAGAACTGAAAAAAAAAAGTCTCTTAAGTTTCTTAAATTCTGAGATTTACTTGTCTCCTCCATCCAGGCTGCTCTCTACTTCTGCGAGAATCTGCTGCTCACAAAGCCCTTATCCAGTACTTTTCATAGAAAGAAAACGGAATTGTCCAGCATTTCTATTCATAATAGGACACAATAGGCAATGTTTTTAAAAAAATAATTACTAACTAGAATTAGATCTTCAAAGTGTTTCTGTTGTCTATCTTTGTTTTTGTCTGTCTGGTTTTAACATACTATAACATAGATCCAGGCATTAATCTTTACATGGTTGGAACAGAAAATTAGCACTGTTCATCACAGCTAATGTTTTGTTTGTTTTTTCTTTCAGGGTCGTCATGTCAAAACAGGACAGCTTGCAGCCATTAAGGTTATGGATGTCACAGGGGTAAGGCTTTTTTTTTAATCACGTCATCTCATTAGCTATACAGTTGTAGCAAAGATGTGAGTGACAGGAAAAAAAATATTTGCCAGAAAAGCGATCTTTCTAAATATTTCAGAACCTTTCGCATTTGTGATTCATGTGAAGAAATAAGAACTGCCATAGCTGACCGAGCAGGCCAAGAATAAATCATGCCGATTAAATCCAGTACTACGCACTGCCTCAGGCACTTAGACGAATACTGTGTGCCAATAATTTACATAAACATAACCATGGACATTTGCATTTGAAGGAGAAGCAAGGATTCCACAGTATTAGAAGTATAACACTGAGATTACAAAGAAGAGATGGGGCTTCACTGTTTCCCTAAAGGGAAGAGCTGGGATAGCTGGAAAATCCTCATACTACACTTAAAATGAACATTTTCTGAAATAAAATAGTTTTGACCAACTAATCACCCACACATTTCTATTTATTAGAGAGCAATTCTAAGCCAAACTTCTGCGTGGATGATCAAAGCAATCTAATATTCCTTTAGTCTTTGCACTAAATACAATCTGATGCTTTCAATTTTTTTTGCTTGGTCTAATTTAAAATATTTTAATAACTTTTCAAGATTGTAGAATGGAAGTCAGATTTTAAAGGATTCATCGAACATCAAAAACACGTTAATAATATTCTATTGTCCTGGGAGCTTTTCTATGATGTCTCTCTTTTTATGTTGTACATGAAAGCTAAAAGACCAAAGTCTCTGTTTGGTCAGGAGTAAAATACTGAATATAAGCAGTCAGCAGTGAATGAGTCACACAGAGATATCAGTAACCAAAAAACAGATTTTAGAGAGAGAGATGTGGGGGGTACACAGTTTGTCGGCACATTAGCTGTGAAGTCACAGGAGTCTGTTAACTCTGATAATTATGAGTGTTGTAAGGCTCTCCAGAAAACCTATCACAATCTGTAAATATCACACATAGTATCAATTGTTTGCTTATTCTTTCTTCATTATTGATCTACTTGGCTCTCTAAATTATACTTTACAGTATAATAATTAATTATAATGATTAATAAAAGGAAAATCATGTTCCTGTATTTATTACCAGTTGAATGACACCCTAAAATGTTTACTACTAAATGTGTGGTTTTGTGTTTCTTCTTACTGCCTTTGGTGCACTCAGTTTAGGTGTTGCAAACTAATTCAAATATTTGACCCTAATTGTTGATTACATCACCTGACATTGACAAAGAAATGCACATGGATTATTTAGATTAGCGGTATGCTCTGCCACTTGAAACAGAGGATTAAGCGTGGTCAAAGGTGTCTTCTTTTTCACCATGTTAAAAAGAGTCTAGAGGCTGACGGTTTTGGTGGCTAGTGTTAATTGTAAAGCTGATAAAAATCTAGAATCTCTGAAGAGACAGGCCGCTGAGCATGCCTGTGGGGATTGTCTTGATTATGTGAGTTGTGATGAGAAGACCTGCCCACTCTAGGTGGCACCATTCCCCTGACTGGGATCCTAGACAGTGAAATAAGAGGAACTGAGCAGCAGTGTGAATTCATGACTTTCTGGCCCTTATTCTGGGTATCATGTGACCAGCTGCTCCAAACTCCTGCCTCCTTTACTTTCCTGCCTTGGTGGGCTGAACCATTGAACAGTGACCTCAACTAAAGCCACCTCCCGTAATTTGCTTTTAACAGAGAATTTATCAAAGCAGCTGGGAGAGAAAGGAAGACAATAGTGTGGGGTGTGCCCACATAGGGTGGTTTACCCTTCTGCTTTGTAACTTTAACTCACAACCTCCCTGCCTGGGAGAGTCTCCATGGATTTTATCCATCAGTAAAAAATAAGGTGATATTCTTCTTAAATGTCTAGCAGTGTGTCTAGTTAAAAATGCAGGTTCTGTGGAATGGAGTCCACAAGCCCTTACCCCGGACTGGGGATGCACAGTTGTGGCTTCTGGGGAAGGGAGAGTGAGTTTCCTTGCAGGATGTGGCCCCTGGTGGGTCAGCCGCACATCTGGAGGATGATTCCACATCCAGGGGTACCCAGACAGACAAATTACAAAGAGGACACAGAAGTAGGGATGGGGGAGGGAATCTGGAAGGAGTTAGGGGAGAAATTGGGGCAAATATAATCAAAACGTGTTGTATAAAATTTTCAATAAATTAACTTCATTATTTTATAAAAGAAGAAAAAAATAGGTCCTAAGGGGAGTCCAGAAGGAATGGGAGGGAAGATGTGTACGCTGTATAAAATCTAAATACAGCATAAACTTACAAGAAATCACCAGAAGAGAAAGAAAATATAGTTCTTTTAAGTCAGAAGTGAAAGAGTGGATATTGGAAGAGTGAATTAGCAGGATATGACACAAAAATCAGAATCTGGTATAGTGAACGTCTGATAATAGAGGTTATATATTTATAAATAAATATAAGCTTATAACAAACACATAAGACATTTACAAAGCCCCACTACAAAATGAGTTAGATTTTGTCTAGCAGACCTGCTGTTGTCCCTTTCTGCGCACTAAGATGCTCTTTGTGTCCTAGTGACTAAGGGCTGTCATGAGTCCAAGGCGGCCACCCTGTGGATTAAGTTCTGTTGTGTGGCTCTGTGGCCGCTGAGTTTCACTGACATCATGGACGGGAACACATAAAGCTGCTTACTGACGTGAAAGCAGGACTTGGGGAACAATGACCACCACTCTCCTAGTTCTTGCCTTTCCAGGGGAAGCTTTCAATTATTCCAGGAACCACGTTTGGTACTGCTGAGCCACCTTGCTTACAATAAAAGAAAATTGTCGCTCAGTTATATAGCCTGGCATATGCACGTTCAGGCCATGGGAGATCAGTTAACCTTTCTCAGCTGGGTTTCTGTTGGCAAGTAAGCCCTTTGAAAAATTGTTTGACAGTCTTTCTCTCAGTGGCCCCAAGGCTGCTAGTCAGAGCCTGACATTCTGCATGTTTCAGGGTGCCAGACCATTTCATACCACAGGCGTTTGATAGTATATGAGCTCAGTTCTCCTGGAGAACCCATTTTCACAAGAGCTGGCTGCATATCTATGCTTTAGTCACAGCATTGACTCTTATTTAACCACTGACCCTCAGCAAAGGCAGATGTGCTGTACAGCAGGAAATGGGTTTATTATTGCCCTGCTGTCTGAGGCAGGACCCAATGAGCCTCGCATCATGTCCCTGCCTGTCACAGTCAAGGACAGCTCTTTCTCTGGTAAACTCTGGTGTTCCCTTTAGGAGGCAATTGATTCTGTTTCGTCACGCTGTCTTTTGTGTGCTATGGAGTCCAGTGCAAACGCTCCTCAACAATTATCTGAATTGTGTTCATTATAACTGTTCTGTTCAAAGCTGGGATGAGTTCGCGAAGGTCATCTTTGTTGATTGTATTCTGTGACCTTCTGCAAAGTGACTGCAATTTATCGCAATGAAATTGATGAGGACACAAGCTTGAAATTAATTTTCAAATTTTTGATTTTATTCTGTATTGCTTCCATTTTTAGAAAAGAGTCACAGAGTGGACCAAATGCAGAGCCCACACTCTTCCAGTTTTAGTGCTTAAACGCCTCAAAATTTGCCAAATTGGCTTCAGAATTGCTGCTTGTACTCTCTCTTGGTCTTCAGAGTCCTATTAGGTTGCCTAAATCATTATGAAAATTTTCCAATTGTGAGAATTCCTTCACTGCTTCATCTGAATCTCCAATTTTCCCTGAAAGAGCTGGGAGGGCCTAGACCCACCCGAGCAGCCAGCGTGAGTGGCCCCTCAGTAACTCTGTGGTGTTCACAATGCATGCAGATTCCCAGGCCTGCTGTAGAATACTTTCAGGCTCTCCCCTTTAACAAGCTCCTTAAGAAACACACTGGGGCGGGAACGACAGCTCATCAGTTAAGAGTATAGAGTGCTCTTCCAGAGCACCTGAGTGTGTTCCTGTACTCACACTGTGGGCAACGCACAGCTGCCTGGGGCACCCGCTCCGGGTGGGCACCTGCCACTCACATACTTCTACCCACATAAAGACACGCAGACCTGCTTATCATTAACAAGAATAGAAATAACTCTTTTCAAAAGAGAGAAGATGCCACACTACCAAAGATGGGCTTTCCTTTCCTGGGATTTTTTTATATACCTTTTCTCTGGCCACCAGTGTGATGAGGCTGGGGGGTCCTTGATTATAAATGTTCCCCATCTAAAGTGAAGACTATTGGTGTAGATTAATCCCTTTATGGCAACAGGCTAAATAAAGTCTAAGACATAATGACATAGTAACAATTTCTAAGCGTTCACCTTTATACTGACCAATCGCGGTTGCATTTTGAGTTGTAGTACTACCCTCATTCACACTAAAGGAAGCTGAAAAGTGAATTTGCTAGCTTGTAGATATTAAACACATACACACACACACACACACACACACACACACACTCACAAAACTCAGCTAGGTCCAGAAAGCCATATGGTGTGATGGGAGGTCTGTCTCTGGATTCTGTCTACTTTCTGCTCTAATTTCCTCACTAAATGAGACTCCGTAGCAAAAAGCCAGAGTGAATATGTGTAAGAGTCTGCACTTCCCAATGGATACCCACACCCGGTTCAGGCTGCGCGCTTTCCCGAACTCGAGCCCACGAGAATGGACGATTGTCCTGAGGGTTGAAAAAGAGACACACACAAAAGAGACCTTTGCTCATTTACCAGAGTAAATGGCAACTTTATTAAACTCAAGTCAGGTATTTATACCAGTGGGCTAGAAGGATCGAAAATGCAAGGCCTCCTCCCATCCAGGAGCAGGAGGGAAGATTAAAGTCCTCCCGGCGCCTCGGGCAGGGTCAGCTAGGGAAGGCAGGCTATCGGTCCACTGCTAAGACCTTGAATACAAGTGGAATCACCATAACAAAGAGAACCAGGTTCTTGGTAAGTTATCCCCTCACGCCAGAGCTAGTGCAGAGTCTCCAGGAAGCCAGAGGTCACACGGCCCTGCGAATCGCCAGGAGAAGGGAA